CCCAAGCTGGGCAAACACAGTCGCACGGAAAGCAAAAACCGATGTCAGGGACCTGGCGCCCAGCAGGAAGAGAACAGAGCGCGCCCTGCTTCCAGGCAAAAAGAAGGTAGAAGCCGTAAAAAAACAGGCTGGGGGGCAGATCTGGTGAGGAGAGGCTGAGCAAGCCGGGCTGATTTAGTCTGGAGAAGACACGGATTGAAGTGGGATTTGATAGTAGCCTTCGCCTCCCTGCAAGGGGCTGCAAAGAGGATGGAGCTGGGCTGTTCTCAGTGGGGGCAGATGACAGGACAAGGAGCAATGGGCTCAAGCTGCAGCCAGGGACGTTGAGGTTGGATTTAGGAAAAACTCTCTCATGAGGAGGGTGGTGAAGCACTGGGACGGGTTACCCAGAGATGCCGCAGGGGGCTGAGCGCAAGGCGCAACGAGCCAAAGTAGGAAAGGACCTGTTTAGGTTGGGAAGATCTGCCCCGGAGTATAACGAGCGACTATGCTGATTGCCCAGAACCTGCGGCAGCAACAGCTGGTGCACGGCGCTCCCAGCCCGGCGGGCGCTGACATGGGCCCACCCTTCAAGCCTGCACACGGCAAGACTTTGCAGACCTGCTTCACAAGGGGCAGAGAAAAACTTTCCATCGTGACAGGAGATCGGGATGTGCTGAGTTTTGAGGCGCACGAGGGGATCAGCTGGAAGTGCTGATCAGACCCAGCCTGCTCACACGTACTCGGTTAGTGTGTGTGTGTGTGTGTGTGTGTGTGTGTGTGTGTGTGTGTGCCTGCATTTATTAGTGTCCTGAACTAAGGGCTGAACTGAGTTCGAGGCACATGGGGGTGTCAGCCTGTCAATGCTGAATATCCTGGCTTGACTCAGGCGTGTCCTGTTGATCGGTGTGTGCATGTGTGTACACGTGTATGACTGATTTGGGGGTTGGAGGAACCCAGCCCCATTGAGCATGAGTCCTGCAAGAGAGCTCCCTTGGGGGTGAGGACTCGCAGAAGGGAGAGACACAGCTCCGTGTCGAAACACAAGTGACACAAGCAGCACATGGATAGCATTACAGAGACCCCAGAAACGTACCCCTAATAAATGAGCACATCCCAAAGTGACGGGCCAATCTGGGAACAGGGTGGGGGCGCTGGTCCTGGTAGGTGCTAGTCAGCGCCTGGGGCTGGGGCTGGGGCTGGGGCTGGGCCTGGTCCAGCCAGGGTGTGTACTGGGCACGCTCACCCCCGTACCCCAATGCCCGCAGCCTTGAGCACACGGCTCCTCGCTGCGGCTGGGGCCCGCGGGCCGG